CAATGTCTCGTGCAGCTGGTTCTCCTGTCAGAGACTTCAGGACACCGTTATCTCCATCAAGGAACTCCATTGCTTTGAAATCAGCTTCACCGACTCCCACAATGATGATGGACATTGGCAGCTTAGAGGCATTCACAATCGCCTGCCTGGTTTGGTCAAGGTCAGTGATCTCTCCATCTGTGATGATCAGCAAGATAAAATATTGCTGAAAAACATCAGAAAGAGCCAGTTAGGGAGTTCACCACCAAAGCTCACCCAACAGAAGGGAAATGGAGCAATTTCTTTCCTCACTTTACCAGTCCATTCTAGTCCATCCTGAACACGGGAAACAGAAATATCAACCCCAAGGCAGATCCACAAGAAAGAACATGCACTCACTGAAGCAGTTCCTTGTTGTGCTGAGTGTGCTGCAAACCTTGCCACATGGTTTATAATAGGAGAGAAATTGGTTGGCCCATAGAGTCGGATCTGAGGCAGGATGTGGCGGTAGGCATCCACTATCCCTTGGATCCCTGTAACACAAGCAAAGCAGACTGCCACAGGAGCCTCACAACTCCTCCAGTTACTACTTTATAAGCATTACTAAACAGCATGGCAAAAGGGTAATAACTCTCACACAACTGTGAACTCCTAAAGGGCAAATAAGCAGCAGGACAACAGTAAATATACAAAGCACAAGGCTGAAACCAGAGGACATCTGCAGAGATCAGATTTGCTGTTCTCTCGTTGTGCCTCTAACATCACCATGAGCTTTTCATGCAAGCTGTGGGAAAAATAATCCAGTGAAGCAACAAAACTTTCAGCATGGATTAACAACCAAATTAAATCCAGACCCCTTCACTGGAGCTTACGGAGACCACACAGAACTCTGCAGCAACACACATCCACTCTTGTCAGCATCCAGGTGAGAGGATGTTGGCTGCACATCCTGTGCTGCATCCATCTTTCACCAGTTATGAAAGGAATACAACACTTCAAACACCTGTCCCTCTCAGTGAAATACTAATAACAAAGAGGTATCCTCACCTTGACAATAAGGGTTGCTGGGGTTGAAGTTCAAAGCAAACTCATGGGATACCTAGGAACGGCGACATTACAAGCACTTACGGAATGCACACATGGACAGAGCAACTGTTCAGTGTTGTGAAGGCCCTACCTGCCAGTCAGGTGGAACCTGGGCTCCAAACCCAAATGCAGGAAACAGCTTGTCCCTGAGAGAGAAAGGGAAACAACAAGAACTGAGAAAGAGCAATTCCTTAATAACTCACTATTCTGTTTTACTCCCAGAAAGCAGCTGGAGGTTCCATTCCTGTCATGAGGAATGGGTACCCCATCTGGCTGCCCATGGCCAGTCACCAGTCACCCAAGGGTTTCAGGCCTGATTTTAGTGTTTCTTTCAGTGCAGCACCCGCAGGACTCTAGATCTAGAGATTTGGAAGTAACAAGAGAAAAGCCACCACAGCCACAGCCTGGCTGAAGGACAGAGCAGACAAACACGTTCCCATTGAATCAAACATTCATGTCTGAAACGCACCACCAGCAACAAGGGATTAGTGAGCAGCTAAAGCAGCATTACAGAGTAACCCAGGGCCAGACAAGGGCAGACCTGGAGGGACAAAGCAGGGAAATACACTAAACTACAAAGGGCTGCCACTGCCCTCCCTAGCAGTAACAGAAGCAGGAGGAAGCAGTAGCACCTCCTGAAGGGATGTCCCAGGGAAAGGCAGCACCTCGGTCATTCAAACACTACAGGTTTGGACAAGCTATCAGCCTTGCTCACTGACACATGCTGCAGTGCATTTTTGATGCAGTGGCTGGATCAGTTAAGATCACCACATACGTGTCATAATCCTGGACCACACTTCCCACACTCCAGATGGCAATCAGGTACTCATTTATCCCGTCTGGGCTGATGTAGTGAAGAGAATCTGGTGACCTGGGATCTCCGTTGGAGCCAGTAAAGTCTACACCCACCTAATCAGGCAAGATGATGAGAGCAAGTCACTGGTGCACCACCAGAAGCAAATGAGAACAACCATACCCACAGCAGGCCCACATGGCTCCCTTCCTCCCAGCAACAGGCACACAAGCCTGCATACCTTTGCCCACTGGGGTACATGCATGTGTAAGGAGTAGCAATCCCCTCCACAGATGGACTGAACGGATCTCAAAAGTCAAGAAACCCTCATGCCATTAAAGTTGTTGCTTGATCAAAGAAAGTAAAAATCTGGTTTTTGCAGTCTTCATTACTGCAAAGTCACACTGCATTGGTCATTTACATCACAAATTAAAGTACTAATCACAACTTCAGTTATCTACCAAGATGTGCAACGGGGAAAAAACTCACTGTGAAGTTAATCTGGCAGCCTCCCATGATGTAGTCCAGGAATGAATATTCTCTCTCAATCTGGAGGAACAGACAGGCAGTGTTACACCTCCTTCCCACAACAACTCACTGCAATCAGTAAATAACAAAGCAAAAATACCCCAGTTAAAATCTTCCTACCTTGCAGGATTTTATCCTAATAATGCCAGAGTTTTTGTAGCTCTTCTTCTTTTGTTTCTTCTCAGGATGAATGCATTCAAATTCCACCTACAGAAAGCAAGCATTGAAAAAGCAAGTCCCCAGACAGCAGCATTTATAGCAGGACAAGTTATTGACACAGAACAATGTCACACATCACACAGTTAGTTACCCAAAAACCTGGCAGAAGCCTTACACTTCATTTTGAAACCATTTGCAACTACTTTGGTTGCTCTCTGACAAGATAAATGGGATGCTTTTGCTCCCAGCACTGGCAAAACACAAGGAAAGACCTCAGAGATGTCTCTCTCCTTAACATAACTATTATTCCACATGCAATCATGGAACAGTGTCATTGGGTTTTCACGTTACATCCATAGAAATGGAGCTGGCTGGAACTGGAAGCAGTCCTAGGCTACATCCTATGTGTGAATTCATCTGCCTGAATTCAGATGAGACATCTCCACAGGAATGAGAGTTCAGGTTTTCATTGCAAACTGAGAGAAACTGGCATCACCAGCAACTGATTCAACTGATTCTACACTGGATGCCAAAGACAAGGTAAGAAGAGTGGCCCTTGGAAGCACTGCTGCTCTCTGTTACCTGAAAAGGCAACCAGAGTGCTCAGGAGGGTGACCAACTCAAGCATGAGACAAGCCCTACCTCTGCACCTATCTGTTAAAGCATGAACAAGCCCTTTCGTTTCCACTTGACTCAGCAGAGGCAAAAGCAAGTTGAGCTGCTGGGAAAGGGAGCTGGCTGTCAGCAGACCAACGGGCTCAAGGATGTCATCAGAAATAGGAATGGTAACAGTACCCAAGGAAAAAAGAGCAATGTAATCCCCATACCAGGTTTATTCTTCCCAGGTGCTGGCTTATTAATACAGAGATATAGACAGGAAAAGAAAAGGACTCCTGGAGACAGCAACTGGAAATATCTCCGAGGTCAACAGGAAAAGGTTTGTGAAAGACTGAATTCTGGAGCAGGTTAGGGGGGATTGAGGAAACTCACCGGAGAGCTGTCACCTTTCTGCAGCTGAGTCAGGGTGGTTTCAAAAGTGCCTATCAAGTCATGCGAGCCATCGCTGTCGTGATCTGCACACTGGACCTGAAGAGAGAGCAGCAATGGGCAAGTGTATTGCCTCAGGGAGAATACAGCTGTTCACCACTGGATTGGCTCTGAGAGCCTTGCAGCAGTGACAGCGCAGACCCCCTCACACCTGAGCTGGGGGTAGCACCGACATCACTAACTGAGACCTGACAGGAAGAGAGACACCGAGACTGAGTCTTTGACAAAGGAAGATGCTCAGTTGCTCACCCACTTCAGTAAGCACAGTGGGAGTTTTAATTAAAAGCTTTCCCTAGTTTAAACATGAGAGAAAGAAAAACAGCCACCGAAATACCCCAACGTTTCACAGCCCTGATGTATAAATGCAAGATCCTTCAGGACACAATATGCAACTGGGGTAAGGGGAAGAAGCAATTAAAAGTTTCTTATCTAAGCATCTTCTGAACATATTCTGCCCAGCAACAGCACCAGTCTGCAATGAAACTGCCATTTCCACAAAGCATTTGCTTTTTCTGCTCCTTTCACCAACGGAATTCTAATACCTAATCAAGAGCCAGTCATGTTTAAGGCAGCACAAACAGCTTCTGAACCAGATCATGCATCAGAGCAATGCATTTAAGAATTAAAATATGCTAATAACTCTGGCTTAGAGCAAACACAGCAAGACCCACGTTGTCAGCAGCTCCCTACAAAACCAGCTCTAAGGAGCATTTATAACATACACAATACACAGGACTGCAGAACACAGGTAGCTCCAGAAGCAGTCAGTCAAGGAACAGTTGGGAACAAGGAACAGTTGTGAGCAGGTGCTTCCTCCCCTGCTGAAGTTCATGTGCCACACAGATTTAAAAGCTCTCCAAGATCTGCCTTGAGTGATCAAGAAACTGATGCTACTCCAGTACAAATCACAAGGTGAACCCATGGGTAACACCTCAAGGATGTCAAATTCAATGGCTAGACATCTGGATTTAAAACAGGGCTCTTTTATTACTTTGATTCATTAGGGATCTTCCACTGTGGGGAAATCCCTACAATAAACCATGTGAATTATGGCCTAATCTAGCCACCTACATGGGAAGCACTGTATCATCCTTCAGTCTCTGAATGGGAAAACAAGATCACCTTAGAGACCTGTCTCCTTCAGGCCAATACACCTGCAGAAAATTCCTACACCTCTTTCTCCCCTCCTGCTTTCTCCCACTCCCCATCTCAGCCACACCAAGGAAACTGCATTTCAAACCACTTTTGTTGTTAGTTCACAGAGTGACAGAGCTTAAAACAAACCTCTTTTTGCAAGGGCTTTCTAAAACCGGCCAAGATTCACTGTATGCAGCCTAAAGAGTGGTGCTGCTGCAAACAAAACCCTGCTAGCAATACTGCAGGACACAGTATATAGTTATTCACTGATGAATTACTCCTTCACAAATGAACCATCCAATACTCATTATGAGCCTTGGAATACAGTCAGTGGTAAAAAGGCCCTTTTCACCTAAAGGAGGAGCTTTCAAAATTGATAGGAAATGGGTTTGCCTCTATGTACATGCCACCAGAGGTGTGGACTGGCAGCTTTAGTCCCAGTACCAACCCCCCTGAACGCCACCTTTGTTCTTTCCATTTAAATAACTCCAGAGAAGAGATGCTACTTTCATTTGCCTCTATTTTTTAACAAAACTGTCAAGAAGGTTAGGCTGTGTCACAAACCTGAGCTCTTCTGCACACAGGAGAACATCACTCTGCATAGCAATGAAAAAAGAACTACCAGAATATTGGGTAGCATTGATCAAAAGATTTATGTTCACCCATATATTCAGCACATAATCTTCATACATAGCTGGCAAAGCTGGTGTTTAGGGGATGCATCAAAATACTTCCACTTTCCAAGGAAGTATAAGGAGCTCTCCTTTCACTGACACTTTATTTCACACACAATTGTCCCTACATAAATATTTTGAAGCCTCAAATAAAGAGGTTCAGAGCAGCAAATACCAGGTGAAAAATGAAACACCAGTGGGTTATTACAGCCCTTACTGCTGCAAGTTGTCCAGGGAGGTTGTGAATACTCCATCCCTGGCAGTGTTCAAGACCAGGTTGGACGAAGCCTTGGGTGAGATGGTTTAGTGTGAGGTGTCCCTGCCCATGGCAGGGGGGGTTGGAACTGGATGATCTTAAGGTCCTTTCCAACCCGAACTATTCTATGATTCTATGATTCTAAGGGAACCTGCCAGCCTGGATTCTGCTTTCTGACTGGCTTCCCTAACCTGTTCGGTACAAGAACAGGATAATTCTTTTCCACAGCTACGTTGTGAAACAATAGATTATGTGCACATGCATCCAGAAGTTTGGCTGAAACAAACTAACAGCAAAAAAAAAAATCTATCCTTTTTAAGAAGCAGGTTATTCCAAAACGAATTCCAAAGCGCATTCCAAAGGGAGCATCTGGAAAATCAACAACTACCCAAACAGAACCAAAATTCAGACCAAACCAACCAACCAAAACCAACCACCTAGCACACAAATCTTTTGGGGCTGTAACAGATACAGCCTCACATAACAGAACATGTAAACCATGCCATTTCATGTCAGTTCTGACAAGTGACAATATGCATCTTTGCCATCTCCTTTCCACCTTCGCTGCCCACTTCTGGACCAAGAGGACTTCTTTCTGACATGACTGTTAATTCACCAACAGTAAAAGCTCCTGAACACCACTTAGAACATTGCCACGGATCAACAAGCACAGCACATCTGATGTTAGCAATCTCAGTAATTCTTTGGATCTTCCATGCTGCAAAGTAACCACTTCAGCATGCTTGCTTTTGGCTTAACCTTTCGGATTGAACTCCCAGCATGAGAATTCTTCACAGGATGAGGCAGGAAAATTCTACAAACGGAAAGTGTTTAGGAGTCGTGTAAGCAGAGAGAGACCATGTGCACGTAGAGCTATCTGTGGATTTAAATGCCTTTACATTATCAATGCTTTGCTTAGAAGAGAAAGTAACAAATTTGCTATCAGATTTTCTTTTGTAGAAACTTATGAGAAGATACAGTTGTTCTGCTACTACCTCCATAAGCCAGGACCATAGAGAATCACTCATCATACATAAGACCACAAGCTATCGCAGCTCCAACTAGCTGGAACAGATTGAAAGGGGGTTGGGACAAGCCTGCCAGTCTCATGAATGGATGAAAGAGAGAAGCATTAAGATCCTCTCTATGTCAATATCCTAAGGCACTCAAGCTTGTCCAACACACATGAGCTTCTCAGCTAACTTAGAAACAGTGCTAGAAAGCCACAATTCTAAAATAAACAAACCAACAATAAAACCAACCAAAAACCCAAACCAAAATAAACCCAGAAAACCACAGAACAAAACAAAGCCAAACCAAAATGTAACCCGAAACCCTGGCCAGAACGGTGGAAAAATAAGTTCTAATTCTTCTTCTGATGTACCATTAGGAAGTACATCACTTCTGCATTTCCTGAACTCTCCGTTTGACAACTAAGTATTAATGTATTAATACGGACTTCATACTTAGTCATATAATCACTTCTCTGCCACATTTCAGATCTAGAAAGGCAACATACAAATTTCAATAGGACCAGACAAGCTGATAACTCACAGTTAACATCCACAGACTGGAACAACACAGAAAGAATCTGAAGGCTGTACCTTGATGGGTTTATTAAAATCTCCGCCACAGAACGTCTGCAAGGGAACACTGAACTTCTTCCAGCACGGGTTTAAGTTGTTCTTAATCACCTTAAAAAAGACACAGCATCATGTCACACGAGGGATGTGGTGTGCAAGTCACTGAGAAACGTATCACAAGCGTTCTGCTTGGCTCTCTAAGAATAGCCTCGGTCCGTTCACCCTGACGTGCATGGACGGCCAAGCACAAGCTCTTGAAGAAGCAAAAGCCTGAAGCTCAGGGTGAAGTTAAATTTTAGAGCTGAGCCAAGCTAACAGCTCGTCACCACTGAATGGGGCAAGTCCTGCCACGCTGCTCACTTGATGCACAGTCGGACTTCACTGAGCCAGTTGCATGTAGTCACCAGGCAGCAAATAAACAATTTGCTGGCAGGTCAGTGAGGAGAACCCCTTTTTTGGGATATGAGACAGTTCTGGACTGCAGAACTGGTGCAAAGCATGACCAGGAGTGGGATTTCCCCTTTCAGCAGGAATAAGTTTTCTGATCAACTCAAGAAAAGCATGGGGGTAGAAATACTACCTCTGATCTGTACACCAGCTGCCATGTTCCAGCATCACTCTGCTTGTAGAACTCCAAAAACGGATCTGATTTACCCAAGAAATCCTGCATGCAAAAAACCAACGTAAGCAATCAGCCTCCTACATTTTACTCACATAGAGGAGAGCTGGCTAATACTTCACAATACACAACACTTAAAGCGCAAAGTCAAACAAACCACACCACCTAAACCTGGCAGTTGAGTTTCTAGTCTGACATTGTGGACTTCAACAAGAAACTACGTCTCCAGTTTGCTTCATTGTAAGTAAAAGAGCACATGCATTCCTGCAAGAATTACCCAGCCTAGTTGAATGTCTGCAAATACAAAGAGTCCTGGCCAGAAGCCACTAACTGTAAGCATCACACAAGCATGCAACACAGTTTAAAACAATACCTTTTTGTCCAAGTTTTGGGCTTCAATTTCCAAGTACACAACCCTGGTGTCTTTAATCTCCTCTGCTGAAATCTGTGCCACAGAAGCATAGGGAAAAAACTGTTAAAGAAGGAACCTCACAGAGTTTTGCTTGTACTTGGTCCATGAAAGAAACTGTAGTTTTAAGTACCCATCTTTCCTGTACACATGCAGCATCTGAAGACATGCTGACAGAAAACCAGAATATATGGAAGAGTGAGAAACCATTTTTCCCACACAAAAACTTACTTACTGTAATGGTGCCCTTTCCTGCTGGCTTTCCCTGCTTCAATTCCAGCGGTCGGGTGAACACAGAACTGGACACAACCTAGGGTTAAAAGACAGATAAATATAAATACCAGGGTAGACAAAGAGCAAAGAGTCACTCTTCAAGGGCAAAATTTTCAAGCCCTTCTAAAAGATCTGAAAGGATTTAAATGCATTTCCAACAGCGACAGCCACCAGAGGTTGTGCTCCTGAGTGGCTGAACCATCTGAAAATTGCTTTCTCTTGCTATCCACAGAACAGCACCCTCTAACAAGTCTCCAAACTTAACTTCAGCCTCCTATTTCTGCTGAGACTCAAGAGGTATTTTCATTACAAGCAGCCCAAAAGCCATTAAGAAGATGATGACTATTTAATTTACCAAGTCTTTCTTGAAGAACATTAGCTTTCCTTTCTTCTCCTACCTTGCTATACAAATCCCTCATCAGGAAATGAATACAGAATCTCAAACAGCCTGATTTCCCCAGATTTACTGCTTGATGATCATTTTATATGAAGGAAACTCATTAAAGCTCTCCAAGCACAATGCCTTCCTTACTCCCAGACTGCCTTTAGTGCTACAAGCACCTCCTAAGCAATTAATTGCAAACTACATGTATTTCCAACCTCTGCTTCGTCATTGTGAGAGATTTTTCTAACTACGTTCCACAGTAACAGAAATGAACCTGTTCAACGAGGTGGTTTCAAATCTGAACGTGACAAAGCCTTCGATAAAGCAATCTTTCACCCCATTTTGCATTATAAATCAACGCTTGCTACTACTTTGTACATCATTTAACATGCCTCTAACACATACCTGTCCCAGCGTGCACTCGATCCCTCCGAGGTAGTCATCATCATTCAGATCAAAGGACTTGTTATCGATATCATACACACCGAACTTCAGCTTCTGCACCTTCTCAAAGTAGTAATCCACAACCAGTTTCTTGCAGAATTCAGGGTTTTGGCAGTTCTTGATCCTCTCTGTGCGATCCAGCTGCGCAAACACAGAAACAAAGACACTGATGATGAGTAAGAAGCACACTTTCTCCTTCACAGCTTTTCATCTACACTGGTTGAACACAGGCACCAGCCAGGCTACACACCCCCAGCCCTTGCTTTGTGCTCCGTGATGAACCAGGCCATGCTGGCAGGCTGACTGATGGCTTGCCAGGAAGGGAAACTGCATTGGATAATATGGGAGAATTCTGAAACTAGGGGGGAAAAGGCTGGGGGAGCACTGTATTCTGGAGCATGTGATTTGGGGGCAGCCCATACTTTAACAGGCAAATAAACGCTCCAATGCAACTCTAAGCAAATATATGAGCAGTTAACAAAACAACGAAGGTAAAACCCGAACAGAGTTTGAGCATGAGCATCGGGAGCTGCTTGCTGAACGCAAATGTAAATTAAACACATGAGGCACCCACTAGGAAAAGCAGTGGGATGGAAACAGGGAAAACCCGGCACGCCTGGCAAGGGCAATGCGGGGCTGACCTAACCCTAACGCTTACCTCCGCCCACTGGCCCCCGCCCAGGTCCTGCAGCAGGACGCAGAGCGGATCCGACTTGGAGCCCAGGTCCTTGTCGAGGAGGCTCTGGCAGGACACGGACAGCTCTACCTTGGACACGCACCCGGCCATCTGCGGGCAGAGCACAGGGTCAGACCCACCGACAGACCGATGACACACCGACCGGTAACACACAGACCGACCGGTAACACACACACCGACCGGCAACACACACACAGACCGACCGGTAACACACACACCGACCGACCGACCGCGTTCCGGCCCCGCCGGCCCGACGCGGGGCTCCTCAACGCGGGGCGGTTGCGGGGTCGCGGCTCCCCACGGAGCCGCAGCAGCAGCGCCCGCCGCGGCCCGGCCCCGTTATCCCCGTGTTCCCATGGGGCTGTGTCCGCGGCTCCCGGCGGCCCCGGCTCCCTGCAGGCAGCGGAGCGAAGAAGGGCCCGGCCCGTCCCCCCCCAGCCCGGGGGAAGAGCACCGCGAAGTCTCTCCCGCAGGGTGTGCTATGGCGGGGATGGGTTACACCGGCCCCGGAGCTCAAGCTCTGCCCGTGCAGATGCTCTCGGAGCCGGTCACCTCCCGCGGAAACGAAACCCCGGCCGCAGCCACCGCCCTGAGCTGAACGGGGCGAAACTGGCTCGATCCCGGCGCAGGGCTGTGACCCCCCCACCCCCAGCAGCCTCCGGGCCCTACGTGCTCCGGAGCCCCGCTTCCTCCCGGTGCTGCCTTCACAAAAGCTGCAGCGCGAGCTCGTAACAGGGTGGGAACTGAATTTTATTACACATCAGGGATAGAACCGGGCTGCTCCAAGCCCCCACGTCCAAGCCTTGAACACTGCCAGGGATGGGGCAGCCACAGCTTCTCTGGGCACCCTGTGCCAGCGCCTCAGCACCCCCACAGG